CAATCCCAACGGATGCAGATGGAAAAGCTTCAAAAATGTTCTCTTCATGTCAGGGAGGGAAGTGCCATGAGAGATTCATTGTGAAAAAGGACTCTGGGACACTTGTGCTATGAAAAGAATCAGAATTGAGCTTTTAGGCACATTCCTGAATCATACACGCCCAAGTCATACATTCAGTTGGTCACAACATCTATGGACTTATTGTCTTTCAATCTGTGTACAGATATCCAAAGTACTCTGGCATGCTAAATAATCTGACACTTTTTACACAGAAGACTGCTCACATAGATTCCTTCTGCATCTCATCAAGCACCTTATAAACGCAGTCCTCCTACGTGTCTATTCAAAACGACATACAGCGGAGTCGAGTCCCTCTGCAGAGCGTTACAGCCTTAAGACTGTAAGTCCATGAGCCACTTATTAGCTCTTCTCAACTTCTTCCACCAGGCAACCCTGGTTCAAATCCTCCCTTTATGCTTATAGCTCTGTGCTGAGAGATGAAGGTCTCGCATCTTCTCCCTCCTCTAGTTCTGCAGAAAGAGGGACTGCAAGACAACTTACTTGGTTTGCTTGATTGGGAGCCCTCTGCTTGGGGAGCTCCTGCTCGGCGAGCCTTTGCCCACCCCTTTGAACATCTTGGAGCTCCCTTTCTCTTGGTGCTTTGAAAGCCCGGGAAGAAAGGGGTGGGTAGGTTTCAGCTGCCTCTGCCTGCCGTGGTCTGCTGAGATGGAGTGACAGAAGAAGGACTGCAGACTGTTAAAAAACAGAATCTGGATGGCTCCTCCCTAAGCCGCAGGTGATCAAGAGTGGAGATGAAACCTGACTAGAAAAACCAGTTTATGAATGAGTAAAGGCCTAGAGGGAGAGTAGGGAGACCCCACCCTGGTACTCAGAGGAATGTGCTTCTGTACAAGCAGAGACATTCCCAGTTATGTTCACACGGCTTCTGCCAGCCATTTTCTTCAGTGCCATTTCCTACACAGGATCTAACTTCCAAGTAAGAAAGAATGCACACCATTATGCCTACAGCCACTCCAGAAAGGCAGGTTGTGCTCCCTGTCAGTTGCACGCAGACCCACAGGGCAGCGGTCCAACTTGTATACTCATGGCAGGGCAAAAACAGCCATGAGGAACTTTTATACTGTACATTGTTGGATATTTTTATGTTCTCCTTCTAGAGCTTGGAAAAAAATGTTTCCTGGACGCAACTCCTAGAACTGGAGGATTGAGTGGCTGGAGGATTCTGGAAGTGGCAGTCCAAAACAGTAACTTTACCAAGAACTATAACTGTCCTCCATGGAAACAAGGAATTAAAGTACTGCATTGACCGGATCTGAGCTGTAACTGACAAGATGAGGAACTAACTGCTCAGTGACTGGAGGAAACATGGAGCGAAATCAATATGACATACCCAAGGAATTTCAGTGAGAAATGAACTTTTTCCCCCCGTGGAACATCAAACATTTTCATCATGCTGTATCACAACTTTAGGGCTTTGCCACGTTAGTCCATCAGAAGAAAAGGGGGAGAAAAGAGAGATTTAAGGCATCCTAACGTCTGACACGTTTTATTTAGCATTGTTTTGCGGACTGCCGTCTACCAAAGCCCATGCCAAATAAAATGTCTTTAAAAGGTCATTTTAATGACCTTTCTCTTGGACATGAGGGCTGTGATTTGAGAAATGCAAGCCGGAGAGCTGCTTTGGTGAATCTTCCTATCCCTAATTTGACTTTTAAAAAAATTAAATCAACTCTCCTATTTAAAGGGTAAAGTTTCAGCCATTTTCCAGGCAAGGTCAAATCAACCAGCCAGAGTCTGGAAAAATTACTTTATTTTTGCTACAGCCCTTGGAAATTGTCAGTCAAGCATTGCCAGTTTCTGCTGCCTTGACTTGAGCTTTCTGGAGAAAAGATTTAATATGGAAACAACAAGAACTGCTAGATAGCTCAGTGGTTTAGCTACGTACCTGGCTGCAAAGCCAGAGGTTGGGAGTTCAATTCTTCACGATGCCTGCTTGAGAGGGGCTGGGTTTCATGATACGTAGGGCCCCTTCCAGCACAGAAGTTCTTAGATGACGATGACGACGACGAAGAATTGACTGGCCAGCATTTTGCCATTGTACTGTACTTTCATGGAAAAATATTGGTAATGTTTCTTGCATTATTATTGTTGATCTACAATGTGGTGTGAGAGTCAGTGTAGTGTAGTGGACATTAGCACTCAGGATACCTAGTTTGGAATCCCTATTTGGCTATGGAAATTTATGGGTGGGTGGGGGAGCGGCATTGGTAAAACTGCTCCTGAAATTTCTTAAATACTGTACCTTAAAATCCCTATTAGGGCTGCTAAAAGGTGGCTGTGACTTGACAGCACATTATACAAAGGGTGCTGCTTATATATTTCCCCATAAAACACTTTCTGGGTGGTTTCCAACATAAATATACAGGCCACACATTGGCCTCCCCCATGAGCTGGGTACCGGTGGTTTCCAACATAAATATACAGGCCACCCATTGCCCTCCCCCATGAGCTGGGTACCCAGTTTACTAGCCCTGCTGGGGTTAAACTCAGGTCAACTTTGAGCCAGCTACCTGAACCTGCTGGGATTAAACTCAGGTCACCAGCAGAGTTCTGACTGCAGTACTGCCATTTAGCCACTGCACCATGGGGCTCCTTAAACACACACATACTGTGGCGTGAATGTCTACACTTGTATTTTATATTTACTTTGTTTTCCATTCCTGACCCTCCAAGTACATGTGGACTTCTATCAAAATGTAAACACATTTGCAGACCCTCCTACAAACCTCTTGCCCTTCTAGGGGAAAAAAAAAACAATTTATGGAGGATATTGGCACAGGATGTGAACCTAAAGGGTTTACAGTGCAATCCCATGCATGGTTATTCAGAAATATATCACTCTTCAGGAACATGAAGAAAGATGGAGCGGAACTAGAATTGAACTCTTTAAAACAGGAAATAGATGCAGCCTGAATCTGATTCCATCCTGCCATTTTGCAGTTATTGTGTCCTAGAAAAAGAGCCCGGGTGTGTAACGTTGGCAAGTAGCACAGTCCCAGAGCATCCCCAGAAGAAGGGAATGGTAAACCACTTCTAAGTACTCTGCAATGAGAAAACCCTGAAAATAGTCACCAGAAGTCAGGATTTATTTTATTTTAAATATATATTTTTACCCTTAAAAAGACTCAAGTCAGCTTCTTCAGAGAATTGATTTGATGGCTCATAATTATTTGAATAAATCTAAAAAAATGGGAACATGAGAGACTGGCAAAATTTGATTATACTGCCCTGTCATTTTCCATAGGTACCTGGGGCCATTGTGACACCCTATTAATTTTGTCATAGAATCAGAAAGATAGAGTTAGAAGAGGCCAAGTCCAAACCCTTGCTCAAGGCAGA